ACATACATACATACATACATACATACATACATACATACATACATACACACAAAACTATGTACATGTGCTTTGCAGTTTAAATGAATTCCAAGTTTTTTTTTTTCTCCCATAAAACACACAAATATAGAAAATTGTTAAACATTGTCCCAAAGCGTTTGCTTTCCTCTAGCTTTTCAGTGCCTGAGCTTTCTGTCAACGCGGCAACAGAAATAAGGAACCTGCACAGGTTAACACCCTCAAAGTTTCAAAGGGGGTCAGAGGAGGTGAGGATGAGGAGGGCGGGAGCGCATGACAGACCAGCTGCACACAGGAAAAATCCTTCCGCTCCCGACGGGAGCTGGTGAGTTACAGATAGACCCGTCTCAGGTCTCCGGGGGAGGTGATGGTGTTGCACTGAGGACACAACTTCTTCGCTCCCTGGAAGGAAAAAATAAAAAATCTAAATGTGACTTTCCGGGTCTGCGTTTTTTCAGCCGGTGGGGCTCGAGGGGAATGAGGGAATTTACCAGCGTCCGCAGCCAGCACTCCTCACAGTGGACGTGCCAGCACTGGATGGAGGTGAGCGGCGTGGTGTAGGTGTCCTGCGCACAGGGAGAGACGCCACAGCGGTCAGCACGCTCTGCACTACCACACCCGGCCACTAGATGTCCACGTCAAACTATGTGAGGAGCTCTGCAGAGCAGGCCCCTGTTTTTAGTTTATTTTTAGCTCATCGTTTGTTCTAATCTCAGCTTTCTGAGGTCAAGATAAAGATATCATCACCACCAACCTACCAAACATAGACAGATTGATCATTTTTTCTAATAATCAATAACTTATACATTCTGAAAAATTTAACGAAGTGTTCCAAATCATAAAAATTGAAGTAGAAGTCCTATTATATCACTTCAGTATAACTTCTGAGATATTATTTGATTTTTTTATGCGTCTATTTATTTTATCTTATTCTTGTGCATGCATTTAAATAGATTTTACTTTGTCTTTCTAAAGAATTAGCCTGCTGATTATTTTCTCCACTCATCGACAGACTAGTCTGTTAAATTGTAAATATATGGCATGATGAGGCAGGTGCTCTAACGCTGCTTTTTATCGATCTGACACTTTTCTTTTGGCTTTTACAAACTGTTGCGTACATCAATGATGAAAACTGATATTTTTTTGCCTTTACATTTGAGAACACTCAAATAATACCTCCTATAATAATAATACCATAATAATAATACCATTATACCTCTTATATGTAGTTTTTAGTATATAAAATGCTTCTTTTTCCCATCTGTGTGGCGAGGCTTAAACCTTTAAACCATTAAACGGTTACACTTAAAGGTAAGCTGCTTCTTTTGGAGCTGACTGAATAAAATGAGTATCTTTGATAAATTCCAAGTACATCTCTGAACCAAAGATCAGGATCCAAGACTCACAGCGCAATGGAGCAAAAAGAAGAAAATAAAACAGCCATCGATCCGAGATGACGTTACACAGAAAACTATAAGCAAATGTTATATATTGGTAAATATTATTGTAATATTTATTTTGTTGTGAGGTTTTGTTCAATATTGCATTTTTCCTTTTTTTTTTCTGTTGTGTGCACCATTATCTCCTCTGAAATGTCAATTGTATTCATTAAAAAAAATCTAATTACCCTATCTCTGTTTAATTATTATTATTTCATTAATTTATGTTGGCTTTCAGCAGAGGTGTGTTATGTTTTGAATTTGCTAGAGTTTTAAACCTCGAGGCCTCTGTAGTTTTCAGTTTTCCGCTATATCTGGACAATTTGATGTCAACTAAACCTGCAAGTTTGCCACGAAGTTGACAAATATTTAATACTTTCAGATAATTTCTCCTGATGAATTTAATAATTTTCTATCAAGCAGGACATAAATCTAAACCAACAGATGAACACAGAGTTGTATAAATTCAATTTCATATTTATATTTCTCTGGACAGCCATGAATGATATTGTAATTTATTGCCAGTATTCAGTGATGTCACCAGTTCTGCATTACAGCTCTGAAATCGCTCCTTCCTTCTCTCTTTATGCTCTATTGATTTAATTTGCCTTCCAACTCACCATGCAGATGAGGCATTTAAATCTGTCTCCTTTAGACAGCTGTTTCTCCAAATCTCGTATCCGAGCTTTAAGTGCGTCCAGCGTCGTCAGCATGGAGTCCTCTGAGAGACTGCGCGCACGCAGTAACAGGGGAGGGGGGGGGGGGGGGGGGGGGGGGGGGGGCAGAGGGAAGCCACATGAGTTAGGCCGACACTGGAGAGTCATTTATAAATCGAAGACAGATTAAATTATTCGCTGGCCAACATGGACACTGAGCATGAAATTTAGCAGCGATCACATTGCCGGCATTGGCTGTCTCATTTATCATAGGCGGGCTGGGGGGGGGGGGGGGGGGGGGGGG